ACAGTTTTTCTCGATTGCTTGGATGCAGTTGTCAACTAAAACTCCACATTTTCAAAACAGTTAACACACAGGCCCAAACAGCGGCACTCATGGTCAAAATGACACATTTTGCTTGCAAAAGGCACATATCGTGTCAAAACATTTAACATATGCAACAAAAGCTAGTTTTACCTTCAAACAACACAACTTGCAAACAAGTATAAGAGCTCTTTCATTTAATCATTACACAATGGACAACAAAATACAGAACTCAAAATGCACCACCATTGCTTGCCATTGTAGCTTATAGCCAATGGCATTTGTTGTCTCTATTTGGGCTGTCAAATTTGCCTTTTTGCAAAGAATTGGATCAAGAATAAGATGTGCTTTGATTGAATATATATTGAATTCATGACATTTTTCAAACTGTGGCTGAAAACTGAAATACTGTATATAAAAAAAAACGGACAAAAGTAATAAAATACTGTAAATATTAGAGAAAACACATGTAAACTAATATACAGTCAAATCTATTGGGAGTATAGGACATAGCCATATTGACCTCCTCCATCAATGCTGGCACAGAACAACACAGACCTTCCATCATTTATATAAGGTTTGCAGAATGATGGCTAATTGAAGATTTGTGTGAAGGAGTGTCAAACCGGTGCTTCAGTGATTTCATACTGATGTTGGTAGTTTTTAATAGTTAGGAATAGATGGTTTCTGTTTGGTTACCAAAACTAAAACAATGGAGTTTGGACTGCTTGAATGACATCTGTGTTAACTGTTTGGAAAAATGGTAGGGAAAATGTGTCAACCCAATGAGAAAGGGTTTACACATTTGCAAGACCTGTCCTCTGCTCTGCTGGGATAGTGATAATGAAAATGAAGAGGAACCTAGTTTCTTTAACCAGGTCAAAGCAAACTAGAAAAACTGTAACGTGGTCTACATGTACCATCAACAGAAGTATTTACTGAATACAGTCACAGTAAAAAAAAAAAAAAAAAACAGCTATACTCCATCCTCTTTTCTGTTTTGGTCTGGCCGAGCAGTGGGGGAAATGTCACTGTGCATGGTGAATCCAGCCACGAAAGGCATCAACTGCTATAGAGAAGGGGTATACGTGTGTGTGGATTTCGGTCATACACTTTTCATTCCCAGGCAGAAAACAAATCCTCAATAGGTTTGAGGAATGAAGAATATGGAGGGAGATAAACAACTAAAAAAACATGGGTGTGCAGTAAACTAGTTGTGAAGCAGATGAGCTCTGATTTCTAAATTGCAATTCTGTGAGACAAGTGTTTACTCATGTGATGAGTTTGTATGTAAAGTAGGACAACTGACTTTACAATTGTGAATGACAGTGTGTTCCTTGTGAAAACAAAAGATTTTCTGCATGAAAATTGTGAAAAATGCAGAGAATTGTGTGTAGTGTTTTGAAAAAAGTGTGTTTTAAACCTGCAATTTGAGTGTAAAGCAGGAATTTTGCTTGTAGTTTAGCAGAATTGATTCAGGGGGTTCATCAGTTACATGTTGTAGTCATTGTGTCTGAAGTACAAGTAATTGTGTGTAAACAATTGGAAAAAAAACTGTAAGTTGTCCCAAAATAGAATTAAAAATTGTGTTTTTTTTTTTAAAGTAGTAGTTAAAGTAGTATCTGTATTAGTAGATGTTGTTGGTATAGTGGTATCAGAAGTAGGGGATGTGTAGTAGTAGTAGTAGTAGCAGTTGTTGTCAGTGTAGTAGTATCAGAAATAGTAGATGTTGCTGATGTAGATGTTGTAGTAGCAGTCATTGCTGTAGTAGTATCAGTAGTAGTTGTTGTAATGGTATCAGTAGTAGTAGTAGACATTGTAGTAGTAGTAGTGGTTGTGGTTGTGGCTGTAGTAACAGCAGTAATAGTTGTAACATTAGAAACGCTCTCTGTAGTAGTAGTAGTTGGTGTAGTACTTGTGATTTAATCTTCTTATTATTATCATTGTAGTGTTTGTTGTTGATGATTATTGTTGTTGTTCTCTTGCTTGTTTACTGTAATTATTACTATCATTATATCACTAGCATTGTTGTCACTCATCACTGACTGGTTTCTTTCTATCTGTTTTTTTCCCTTTATATATATATATGCGTGTGTGTGTGTGTGTGTGTTACTTGCTTCATTTAGTGACTGCTACTGTTCCTTTTGTATGTACTCTGAACTGTTTACCAAGTTACCTTTAAATGCACACACATATACATGCACACATACACAAACGCACACACCTGCCAGTATTTGACAGTATTGTTGTTGTTTTTGGTATTTTTGTTATTGTTTCATATATTTTTTGTATTTGTATCATCTCAAATTGTGTACGTTTTTGTATATTCGAATAAAAAAAAAAAATAATAGTGTTGTTTGAACTCATTTTAAATAAGTAGTTTGAACATGCAGCAATATGTTTTGAATGAATTTACAGGGTTTCCAATGCTCTCCAATTTCTTCTTTTTCTTCTTTTTTCAGATAGTGATTGTTCTTAAGCGATAACTACTTACTAGGAGCATGTCTATGGTGCTGATTTGAATTAGTCAATTAACTTAAGTTGCATGTTTTTGGACGATGGGAGGAAATCGGGGAACTCGGGGAAATATTTGGAGATGAATGATATTTGGCCTAGAGTGAGGATCCCTGTATATAAAGTAATAAGATCATATAGAAATTACAGAAACTGTGACAGAGCTGGGAAATGATGCAAGCACTAGTCACTCAGGACATGTTAAAGCTCTGTTTCCAGTCGGCCTTAACGTTTATTGTCAGTGAGGCGTTCAGAAGTGGTCAGCCGGGACACATTATCGTTTCACCTGCTATTAACATGCGTTCAAATGAGTTTCTTGTGACCACTTGTGTTGGCTGAGAGTCTTCAGTCATATTTCTTCATGCACTAAATGACTTTTGCAGGAGTGTGCAGTGATCACATGTTTGTTCAGTAGACCGAGATAAGGTGTGATGTGTGCTTGTTTGAGTGAATTTATCCACTTGAACATTTACAAAGTTTTTAAGCCCCATTTAAACCGTTACTCAAATTAAGGAATACCAAAACAGTACAAATAAAAAATCCATATGAAATAAGGATAGACTTGAGTTCTACCAATTAAAAAAATGAAATTGGAATGCAAATAAGTATAATTCGGAAATCCTCATCCTGGTCTTGTTATAAATTAGCTTTTTTTGCACTGGTTTCTGTAGTTAAACAATTACAGTTGTTTAAGATTATTGTAAATTATAGGTCTAAAGAAGTTTAAATTACTGCAAAAATATTTTTTGTGAGCTGCTAGACTATATATTATATCCATCTATCAATCCATCCATCAATCCATCCATTCATCCATCCATCCATCAAACCATCCATCAATTCATCCATCCATCAATCCATCCATTCATCCATCCATCCATCAATCCATCCATTCATCCATCCATCAATCCATCCATCAATCCATCCATCCATCCATCCATCCATCCATCCATCCATCCATCCATCCACCAATCCATCCATCTATCCACCTATCTATCCATCCTTCCTATCCACCCACCCATCCACCCACCCATCCATCCATCCGTCCGTCTGTCCCTCCATCCATTTATCCACCCACCCATCCAACCATCCATCCACCCACCTATCCATCCATCCACCCATCTATCCTTCCTATCCACCCACCCATCTATCCACATCATCCACCCATCCATCCATCCACCCACCCATCTATCCACCCATCCATCCATCCATCCATCCATCCATCCATCCATCCATCCATCCATCTATCCATTTTATTTATTATTTATTAATTATTATTTATTCATTTATTTATGCTGGTTCTGTTTAAAACATGCTGCTTTTATGGTTTTATTTATATATATATCGCTTTAATTGTATATGAATGATCTCTAATCTATATATCTGTATCTAATATCTGAATATAGGCAATGTATTTTGGTGCATTTAAACAAAACAGATTTATTAAACAGATATATTTATTAAAATAATATTTTAATCATCAAACATATTTAGACATTTAAAGACAATACAATTAAATTCAAGCTAAAGCTTTTTTTCAACTAAATTGTATTTTTCTGCTTCTATTAATTTTTCCTTGGGCGACGCAGTGGCGCAGTAGGTAGTGCTGTCGCCTCACAGCAAGAAGGTCGCTGGTTTGAGCCTCGGATGGGTCGGTTGCCGTTTCTGTGGGGGGTTTGCATGTTCTTCCTGCGTTTGTGTGGGTTTTCTCCGGGTGCTCCGGTTTCCCCCACAATCCAAAGACATGTGGTACAGGTGAATTGGGTAGGCTAAAAATTGTCCGTAGTGTATGAGTGCAAATGGATGTTTCTCAGAGAACATTTATTAATGTTTTGATAAACTTATGTAGGTGTGCATTTATTTATTTATTTAAAGGACTTTTAGCTGTGATATTATATGAGTGATCAGTCACATGGCCTACTTTTAACAACTGCTCCCATAAAGCAAAAATACATACGAGTCCTGTGCCATCTGAACACCTGAGGGACACACAAAGCATAGCACTTCTGCAGGTATGTTCTTATCTTTCATTTAGGATGTTAAGTTTATATAGATCAGTGTTTCTCAACCACATTCCTGGAGGATCACCAGCGGTGCATGTTTTCCACGTCTCCCTAACCAATCACACCTGATTCAGATCATCAGCTCATTAGCAGAGACTGAAATACCTGTAATTGGTGTGACAGACAAAGAAGACATCCAAAACATGCAGTGTTAGTGGTCCTCCAGGATCGTGGTTGAGAAACACTAGATTAATTTAGCTTACCACATTGTCCATGCCTATGCTTTCTTTTGTTTTTTGTTTTTGTCTTCTTTAATGTGCGCAAACGTATTCAGTGGTCAAATCTTCATTTATTACTTCATGTTTGCTTTCTACTTTGCCAGTCTTGCTCAAAACAGTGTCATGTGAGTATAGTCATTAAAATAAGTGTAAAAGCAAAACATCACTTCCCCCAACAGACACACAAGCATATCTTTGTATAGTTTATTTCATTTTAAAACAGATAAACAGAAAGCTTGATAATTCATATGAGATGATACATACTTGAATATTAGGTAACATAACTGGTGGAAGATGAGCTAAAATATTTCTAATGACAACCCACACGCTCCGCGGACCCCTTTAAAGACAGTATTCGTGATAAATAGTGCCTTTCAATGCAGGTTGAATACAATTCACCAAGGCAAATCATAAGTGCACTAGAATTTTGAAGAGAATTAATGGTATCTGTGTCGCACGTGGGTCTCTTTCGAAGTAAAATCAACCCCTCAGTTTATGCACTATACATTTAATGAACAAAAGATGAAAATGAAAACATTTGATTTCTCACATGGTAAAAGATCCATTTCACATACAGTACACACACGAGACACTAGGGCTGCACGATATTGGGAAAGTATGCGATGTTGTTAAGTATTGCGATAACGATATTTCTGACGATTTGTCATTTCCTTCGAAAAATGCCATTTTTTTATGGTTTTTAAATCGCTTATTTATGTATAATGATAATAAAATAAGCAGGTAAAATATATTTTTCAAGTCTTATTATTTCTCATTCAGACTAAAAAAAACTGTTTACTTTTAGACCCAATCCTGATTTCATTTTTTTACGCCTATGTAACGTCTCCGGTCCTTCAACTCAAATATAACTTCGTTACACCTACCCCTTCCCCTTGGCCTTGGAATCAAAGTGTAAAGTGCTTCAAATTTACCCCTAAGAAATTGGACAGAGGGTGGCTCAGTGGCTAGCACTGTCGCCTCACAGCAAGAAGATCGTTGGTTTGAGTCCTGGCTGGGTCAGTTGGCATTTCCGTGTGGAGTTTGCATGTTCTCCCCTTGTTGATGTGGGTTCTCCGGTTTCCCCCACCGTCCAAACACATGCGCTATACGTGAATTGAATAAACTAAATTGGCCGTAGTGTATGTGTGTGCATGTGAGAGTGTACGGGTGTTTCCCAGTACTAGGTTGCTGCAGGGAAAAATCCGCTGTGCAAAATATATGCTGTAATAATTGGAGGTTCATTCCTCTGTGGTGACCCCTGATGAATAAAGGGACTAAGCCAAAGGAAAATTAATGAATGAAATGGGACGGCAGTACAACACCAGCACACGTCGTTATAAGTCATTGCGAGCTCTTCATATGTGATAGACGATGGGGACTGTTGCATTCCAGTCAGAATATTTTTTGGTATTTATCTTCAGGAAATCATCAAAATTATGACAATATCATGTTATCATAACGATATAATGAGTAAATAAGCTTGTAACTGTACTGTGCATTTACATCGTGGCCATATTTATTTATGTAAACATACGAAAACAACAGTAACGTTATACCAGACACTCCAAAAACCTCATTCTCAGCCACTAGACGTTTCTGACAGGGAATTCGAATGTAACCGACTGCTTTACATGAGTTATTAATATGGATTATCAGCCTGATGTTACGAAGAAACGTAAGAATTTTACATTTTGTCAGTTTAGTGGCTAATTCGTACAAGTTCAGTCATACAAAAATGTGCAATTTTAAAAAGGAGGCTTGACACCCAACCCCACCCCTAACCCCAACCATCATTGGGTGATGAGCAAATCGTACTGAACTGTACGAATTAGATTGTACAAATTCATACGAATTAGCCACTAAATCAATAAGTTACGAATTGCCGTGAGATTGGGTTGGGAATATAAATAGCGAAAATTAGCATTTTTATTAAAAATTTAATTTTAAAAAAGCTTGATCGTAAAACACGAAGGTCGTTATGAATGTATTAAAACATGTGCTTGTATGTTGTAAAAGTTCTTAATAATGCCAAAAAACACTAATTTGTCGATCTCCTGACTCACATGTGCAGTCATGCTGCCATTGTGGCTGGTGTATTTAGAGAAATTTTTGTACCAATTGGTTTAGAGTGTGGTCTTGGAAAATCTCAGTTTCAAAGGCTATCTAGCCCATCCCCTTAACCTTATGCTTTCACTGATGATTGATAATAAAGTGTATTTGGCATGCTGTCCTGGAAGAGAGCCCTGAACTCAGAATATCCTCGAGCCTGGGGCTCCCTCCCGTTTGAAGGGCAAGAAAGAAGTTTGAGCTCAGGATGGTCACGAAACGTCCCCTGCTTGTGAACGTGTTAAAAATAGCTAAAAGATATAACTGGCTTAGAGCTTGTCTCATGATGGCACTTTGGATTAATCAATTTACTTGTATTGTATGTCTTTGGATGGTGGAAGGACACCGGGGAACCCAGGGGAAAACCCACGCGAGCACGGGGAGAACATGCAATCTCTGCACAGAAACGCTGACTGACCCGGTAAGGGCTCAAACCAGTCGTGTTCTTGCTGTGAGGCAACAGAGCTAACCACTGGGCTGCTGTGCCGCTCTATCAGTATAAGGGGTAGAAGTAGGGGTTGGGTTCAAGACGAAGATTTTTCGTCTCTAATTGGCGCAGTATGTGAAGCTGATGCGGGACCAGCTGTGATCAATCATAAGCACGTGATCCTCTCGAAATTAGTTTATAAATAAACCGCACAAAGAGAATCGGGACACCCCTACTCCTTCACATGAATGCACAAAACTAGGGGTAAGGGGAAGAGCTAAGGTCTAGAAATGGGATTGGGCCTTAGTATTTGAATATTCTGTCTCTGATTGGCTGTTGTCTTTACCCGCCATTAGTGTTTATTTTCAGCTCCTGATCCAGCCAATACCTGAACAGCAACTACGTGGGAGGCAGGGCTAAAGATAGTAAGGCACCATCTGATTGGTCAAATTTCGATAAACAACCAAAGCATCAAATAAAATGTCATTTATCACTCGTGTCTGCGATACGTTTATTATCGCGATCACGTGTCTGCGATACATATATATATTTGATATAGAGGATATATTGTGCAGCCCTATAAGACACAATAAACTATTAGCAAACCAAAAGACATTTGTGAGTCAAAACACAGTTATAGCTCAAAAAGTATATTACACTGCACATGTTGAAGATTTGCATAATTATTTAAATGCATTATAATGTACCCTGAATCAATGCTCTCCAGATGAGTGATCATGTTTTTCGGCTAGTATGACAAACTCGGAAAAAAAATGACATGTCAAATACTATCTGGTAATGCTAATGCGGCTCACACACTCCTGGTCAAATTTGTTTTACACTACAGTACAATGTTGGTTGGAAATAAAGACATTGCTTGGTGTAATGAATGCATTGTCTGTTTTACTGTACAGGGAAACATGTTATGTTTGAGTTTTTACTGGAGCTTTTTTTACTATTACCGAAAAAGAGAGTGTCTTGTCTGTTGCCAAAAATCTAACAGCTTGTGACCCACGAAGTCGCCCAAACTACAAGTACTGCTCCCCTTTCTCTGCTGGAGAACTTTTAACATTTGCTCTGCAATTTAAAAGAAAAAACAAAACATGTTTGAGTTAGAGCGAAAAAACGCTTAGATCCACCGCTCCAAATGACACTTTAGTCACTTACAATACTGCAATAATACATATTTACAAAGGCAAAGACAAAGAGGGGTTTTCAGGCACACACAACAGATATCGGGGGTGACGATTTCTCTTTGTTTTTCAAACACATTTATTGATCAGATGTTGAAAAAAAGGCACACAAGTTTTAAGTATGTAGGGTGTAGGAGCCCAATCGTACAGACAAGTGTCCAAATTTGTATTCTAGGTGGGAGTGAGGGGACACAGAGACACAGAGAGTAGAGCTCGGACAGTCCTCGAAAAAAGGCAGGGAGGGTTGGTCAGTCAGGGAAACTAGTCTCACTCAACAACTCATCCCTGAATTAGAGAGAAGAAGAAGACAGTCAGAGAAGAACAGCATTAGAGGAACCTGGGATAGAGACAGTTCACCTGAGCCTCGTGCTTTGTTGGCTGTTAATACGTTATGCGGCTTTACATCAAGGGTCTCAAAATTGACTCCTGGAGGGCTGCAGCTCTGCAGAGTTCAGCTCCAACCACCTCCAACTCACACTTGCTTAATAGTCTCTGTTTATGTCTACTATAATCCAGATCAATTAGTCTGAAAACGCTACATGTCCACACTTTTGTTTTCCTAGTGGCAGATTTAGGGATGGGCAATATGGGTGTTTGATCAGGGCAACCCAAACCCCCCAAAACCCTCCCCCCAACTTAATCACTTTTGTCGTGACAGATTCTGCACAAACCCACCCCCACCCCTTCGCCACTGTATTCACTTTCGTTCCCTCCACATCCACACACTGGACAAACAGTAAAACTGTGTAGAAAAAGTGCAGTTTTAAAAACAAGTTACATCAGTTACATCTCTTTCCTTCTCCAATCAAATGAAAGCAGAGGCGGGGTTTCCGTTGAGGCGACAGCAGTGTTTGTGTTGTAAAGACAACGGAAGACTAAAGAGACTTTTAAAGATGCGAGACAAGTGGTCGCTCTTTCAAGTTATCCAGAACTGTATGACTTTTCAAATCTTGAATATCGCAATATAATTAAATATTACAATTATAACAATATCAACAGCAACACTCTCGCACAATACGCAGCTGATTCAGTTGTTGCCTAGTTATGTAAAAAGTGAACCACGCTTCTTTTTTTCTTGTAAACAAAAAAGGATGTGTGATGTGCCTCACGTTTTTGGAACGTAAAAGCGTGTTCGGTGTGATCGGCCCCTGGGGCTGGGAAATTTGGCTGAATTTGGATTTGGATACTTTTCTGTTAGAAAAGTATGTTGTGTGAATGGAACTCGGACGTACTACATCCGCCATTTTGTCATGATCACGTGATCTGCCTGCGTCAGTTGCGTCGCTTCACTGCCATTCATGAATTCTCTCGTGGTGCATCATGGGTAAATGTAGCATGCATCGGATGCGTACTTCATAATCTTGCTGGAAGTAATAGGTCATCCAGGTACTTTTTGCATACTGTTTTTTTTCGAATTCTATGAATTCAGACATATCACTGCCAAAAATGCTTTTCTTACTTAGATTTTTGTCTTGTTTCTAGTCCAAATATCTAAAAATACTTAATTCGAGATGAATTTTCTAGACAAGCAAAACATGTTGTCTTGTTTTAAGAAATAATCTGCTAATATTAAGTGATTTGTTACTTAAAACGAGCAAAATAATCTGCCAATGGGGTAAGCAAAATAATCTTACGCCAAAAGAAAAAACAAGATTATTTTGCTTACCCAATTGGCAGATTATTTTGCTTGTTTTAAGAAAAAACTCACTTAATATTGGCATATTATTTCTCAAAACAAGACAATATGTTTTGCTTGTCTAGAAAATGCTTCTTTATATAAGAATTTTTAGATATTTAGACGAGAAACAAGACAAAAAATCTAAGTAAGAAAAGCATTTTTGCCGTGTAAGAAAAGCATTTTTTTCAGTGTACTACTCGGCTCGCATACTAATTTTAGTGTACTATATAGTATGAAAGTAGGATGCAGCATTAGTTTACACAATCCACACACTGCAAAATGAAAACAGCACTTTCAAATTTATCCTATTTGGACAGCGTTTTAAGAAAGATGTTTGAAAGATTTTTTTTACCTAAAAATGTCATCTCTGTGTAGACGGAAGGCCAAAACAAACGTAAAAACATGCTTCTATAACAAAAACGTATTGGTGTGGACATGACCTCTAGTAGTTTTGGACACCGTGGGTAGTTGGATCAGCTGTGTTGATTAAGGTTGGAGCAAAACTGAGTAGAGCCGCAGCCCTCCAGGAATCCAGTTTGAGACCTATGCTTCACATAGACGTTTGTTGATTGTTAGCATGGAAATGTTAGAGAAAACACATGAAGAGATGACATGTTTGAACAGTTTGAGAACTCAGAAGGAAGTGATGAAAGGAAAGGTTTTGAGTTACATGTCCTTTGCGTGCTCGAGAGGCGTTCATGCACATTGTTAGTTACCAGGTCCAAAAACACCTCACACCTCATTGATTTTTGGAGACAGGAGACAAATCTTTCACTGTCCGCCTTCCATTCATAAATAAAGGACCACTTCTATGTTGATGATGTTTTTGTTAAAACTGACAACTGTGATGAGACTTTGATTGTTACTCTATTACAAAAAAAGGAGATATTAAATGCTTAAGATGGCAGCATGTTGCTTTGCTTACCAGTAGGGATGCAACGATTTATCGGTTTCATTATTAACCGTGATTTAATTTGTCACAGTTAATTAATCGGAAAGGCTTCTCAACACTGTGTTTTTGCACGGAACAAAACTGGAGCAACTAAACAAAGTTATGCCAACTGTGCGCTAGTTTGTACACCGAGACTAACAACCATGGATTGACTATTACTGAGGCTATTAATTAAGGCAAGCTCGTTCAAGCTCGTTATTTCCAATGGAGGGACGCACACGCAACACAATGCATTCACGCTTTTCAGGCACACCTAGTTGAGATGACAGGGCTTTTGTGACTGCAGGAACAGCATACGGCTGAAGTTTGAGGAAGAAGCAATGGAAAGTACACGGGTTTGCAAACCCAATTACAAATAATGGCGCCTATGAGAGTGATCATGTGGCGAGAGTTGATCTGCCAGCCGAGATTAATCGAGTGTTATCAGGGACAGTGCTGAAAGACCCAAGCCTGTTTCACACCACAAACGTGAGCAGCGCGTGTTTTTTTTTTTTGGCGTCCATGTTAAAAGATTAGAGCTTTCATACTCCTAGCAGCGTGCCAGTGCGAGGCATGAGTCTCACTGAAGCAGCAGTGCCGTGATAGTTTCAGCACTGGGTCTATTTTTGCCGCGCTGCACACGATCAATTAAGGTTACAATGCATTGATAATGACCAAAAACACATTGAATGACAGTAAAAAGTAGCTATTTTACCCTATAAATGCATCAATATTATCCACTGATTTTTATATAGTCAATCAAATAAACTTATAAAACGGCAACAAATATGTATTTAGGCCCAAACTTTAAAATAAATTTGGTTTTAAACTAGTGGGATTTTGAAATCAATGTTTGCAAATAATCGTGATAACCGTGAAACCGAGATTATTTCTTAGACTATAATTGTACAACCAAAATTTATAATCGTTGCATCCCTACTTACCACATTTGGTGTCAACCATTGCAATTTCAGGAGTGAGTCATTAGATTTAAATGCAGTTATTATATTTATTGTGATTATATTTATTATAAATATAAGTTATTTATGTTTAAATATTGTAAAATTTTAATAGTTTTGCAATAGTTTTGTGTTCAAAACTAAACTGTGGCTGTAATGTAATGTATGTAATGTAATGTGTATTTATATAGCGCATTTATTGTGTATGGCCATACACCTAAAGCGCTTCACAATCATGAGGGGGGTCTCTCCACACCACCACCAGTGTGCAGCATCCACTTGGATGATGCGACGGCAGCCACAGGACAACGGCGCCAGTGCGCTTACCACACACCAGCTATTGGTGGAGTGGAGAGACAGTGATAGAGCCAATTCGGTGGAAGGGGATGATTGGGAGACCATGATCGTAAGGGCCGATAGAGGGACTTTGGCCAGGACACTGGGGTTACACCCCTGCTCTTTCACGGGAACTGCCATGGGATTTTTAATGACCACAGAGAGTCAGGTCCTCGGTTTAACGTCTCATCCAAAAGACGGATATGTGGATGTGTTTATATTATTGATCGATAAGTTCTTTAAGTAAATCTAGTGCAAGGAAACGGCAGCATCAATAGCACTCTTCACCCTCAGTTGCTTTACCCTTCAACATTTTAGCCTATTTTCTGTTAGTGAGGTGTTTTAAAGCTACAAAAACAGCACACACTTTGGTCTAAAACCAGCGCTGGACTTTCCCTCGAAAGTGCTGTGTCTAAATAGCTTGTTTATGCCTCAAGTCGACCCAATTACAATTCCCACACTGGAGCGCTGGAAGTCAGTGGCTTGAAATAATGTCCTGTATGGTTCCAGTGGAATTCCCTGTACTTCAGTGGACAGTGGAAGTGTCGTAACTCCTGGTCTCCTCAATGTGGTGTCAGTAATTTGACCATGGCTGTCAGCAACACACACAGCTGGCGAACAGAGCTCCCACCACGCAGAACAGACTAGCCAATCAGAGCAGCCATGGCATGTTTTTTATTTGAACCTATAGACTGTGTTTGGAATGAAGTGCTTGCTCAATACTGTTCAGTATACAAATTATCTGACAAAAGTCTTGTCCCCTAGACAAGTTTTAGGACCAACAAATAATAGCTTGACTTCTAGTTGATCATTTGTAATCAGAAGTGGCTTATATGAAAGGCAAAGGCCTCTAGTTTACGCTTATTTGAGCTAAATAAAATATGATCATGCCAATATTTCTAATTATTTAAATAGGACAGTAAAGTCTGACTTTGCTTAGAAAAAAGTCTTGTCACTTAACAGATATAATGTACAGTATAAAATATAAAGTCATGCTGCAGTGGAGAAAAAATGAATATTGTGTATGACTCCCATGAGCATGGAGGACTGCATCCATACATCTCTGCACTGACTCAAATCACTTATTAATAAAGTCATCTGGAATGGCAAAGAAAGTGTTCTTGCAGGACTCCCAGAGTTCATCAAGATTCTTTCGATTCATCTTCTATGCCTCCTCCTTCATCTTACCCCAGACATGCTCAATAATGTTCATGTCTGGTGACCGGTCTGGCCAATCCTAAAGCACCTTGACCTTCTTTACTTTCAGGAATTTTGATGTGAAGGCTGAAGTATGAGAAGGAGTGATATCCCGCTGAAGAATCTGCCCTCTCCTTTGGTTTGTAATGTAATGGGCAGCACAAATGTCTTAATACCCCAGGCTGTTGATGTTGCCATCCACTCTGCAGATCTCTCGCATGCCCCCATACTGAATGTAACCCCAAACCATGATTTTTCCTTTACCAAACTTGACTTATTTCTATAAGAATCTTATTGGTCCATGCGGGTTCCAATAGGTCTTCTGCAGTATTTGTGATGATTGAGATGCAGCTCAACAGATGATTCATCAGAAGAAACCTACCTTCTACCACTTTTCCAAATGATCAACTAGAAGTCAAGTTATTTTTGATTCAAGTCTTTTGTCAGTATGGGAACTGCTTAATAGTATGCATTGTACATTGTCACATGACCTCAATTGATAAAAGTTTGGAAATAAATACACAATTAGCATTTATTTATTAGTTTATTTTATTTAAATTACATTTTTTAATTAATTTGAATTGGGGGACACTATATTTTTTTTTTTTTAATTTTGGCAACAAAAAAAGGCTTTTGATCTTGTTTAAAAAAAAGTTCGGGTCGTCAGTGTATTTCATGCATACGTTCACATTATGTATATTATATACTGCAGAATTTGAGATAGTAGGATTCTAGTCCAAACATAGATGCTGTACTCCATGTGGAATCTTTTTATTATTATTTATTTGCCTTTTAGCTAACAAAAAAAAAAAAATCCTGTTGATTAGACTTTGTCCACAAATAATACTTTTAATTCACTTTTCATGAAAACACATGAAAGTTTCCCTGAAACCTATGTTAGAGTAACTATATAAAAATGTCCAGTGTTAATGCTCTTTACAACTTAGGGAGTTCAGCTTCAAATTGGTTTATAGAAAGGATTTCTTTCATTTAAAAGCTTATTAATGCTTGATGAGAAAACCGTATTTGTCAAAATCAGTACGGAATTTCCACATTGTTTTCTTGAAAATGAAAGTATAGCAAAAATACACATTTGTACAGTATCTCTGAAAAAAGTACACAAACCTCTGTGACCGTAGGTCTTGACAATGTAAGTATTTGTCTGGTAAGGGTTTAGTTTGAGTGTTTTGGACCTGGATAAACGGTCATTGCGAGTGTGAAGGTGTACTCATGGTGGAAAGAGCTCTGTCTCTTGTATGCGCTGCTCTTTACAGTTAGAGTTTGTCCTTTGCTGCAGTGCAGTTATAGGTTTGTATTTACACATACTCTCTGGTTGTGGAGGGCTGAGATTGCCGGTAGAACTGCTGTCCTCTTCTGTCCTCGTTGATGCAGGAGCAGCAAAGGAACGCGCCGCCCAGCATCATCAGGACGGACGCCGCCCACCCCACAAAGAGGGCGGTTCCAAAATCGTACCTGGAAGACAGAGAGGCCACGCCCTTCATTCAACAATGGTCAAGTTCAGGTAAAATTTTATCCTACTAAACACATATATATATCCCTCGACTTTTAGTTAATTTAAAATAAAAAAAGATAACTTATTACTTAAACTTATTACTTAACGTGTTGCCATTATAATTTTCAAATCAATCATTGGTCCTACTTGGCATTAGTTGGTGTGTTGGGGTCGAAGAAGTGGGCAGACACCTGTGCGGCATACCAGGACACGGCCACCAGCGTGCAGACACCTAGACCAGACAGAAATCACAGGATCAGCACCGTCACTAAGGATACATCTCTCTGTCTGTTTACTTTCAGGCTTTGCAGAGAGTGTTAATGTGACCAGAACAGCCACTTCCTGTTTACTCCTGCAAGACACGATGAAGACAGCGGCCGAGGAGAAGAACAGACCTCAGGAATCTGGAGGCTAATGGAGGAACGCCAGTTTATTTACCAAAACTAATTCACACTCAATGATTTACGACTGAGGTATGTGCAGCACTGACCTACATAACACAATTTGCACAGAGTAGTAATGACTTTGTTTACGTTTACTGTCAAGACCTTGAGTTTTTAGCTTAACACTGTAAAATAACACTGTATTGGTAATATTATACACTCACCGGCCACTTTATTAGGTATACCTTACTAGTACCTTACCTTTATTAGGTACGCCTTACTAGTACCGGGTTGGACCCCCTTTCAGAACTGCCTCAGTCCTTCATAGCATCGATTCAACAAAGTACTGTAAATATTCCTCAGAGATCGTGCTCCATATTGACCTGATAGCATCAGGCAGTTGCTGCAGATTTGTCGGCTGCACATCCATGATGTGAATCTCCCGTTTCACCACATCCCAAAGGTGCTCTATTGGATTGAGATCTGGTAATTATGGAGGCCATTTGAGTACAGTGAACTCATTGTCATGTTCAAGAAAGCAGTCTGAGATGATTCACACTTTGTGACATGCCATGTTATCCTGCTGGAAGTAGCCATCAGAAGATAGGTAGTCTGTGGTCATAAATGAATGGACATGGTCAGCAACAATACTCAGGTAGGCTGTGGCATTGACACGATGCTTAATTGGGCCCAAAATGTGCCAAGAAATGATCCCCCACACCATTACACCACCACTACCAGCCTGAATTGTTGATACAAGGCAGGATGGATCCATGATTTCATCTTGTTGACGCCAAATTCTGACCCTACCATTTGAATGTGGCAGCAAAAATTGAGACTCATCAGACCAGGCAACGCTTCTCCGATCTTTTATTGTCCTATTTTGGTGAGCCTGTGTGAGTTGTAGCCTTAGTTTACTGTTAGCTGACAGGAGTGGCAGCTGGTGTGATCTTCCCCCCATCCGCCTCAAGGTTTGATGTTTTGTGCATTCAGACATGCTCTTCTGCAGACCTTGGTTGTAACGAGTGGTTTATTGAGTTACCTTTCTATCAGCTGGATCCAGTCTGGGCATTCTCCACTGACCTCTGGCATCATCAAGGCATTTGCTCCCACAGAACTGCCACTCACTGAATATTTTCTCTTTTTCGGACCATTCTCTGTAAACCCTAGAGATGGTTGTGTGTGAAAATCCTAGTAGATCAGCAGATTCTGAAATAGTTCAAAGTCACTTAAATCACCTTTCTTCCCCATTCTGATGCTCGGTTTGAACTGCAGCAGATCGTCTTGACCAAGTTGAAATTTACGTTAACAAGCAGTTGGACAGGTGCACCTAATAAAGTGGCCGGTGAGTGTGCATACATGCAATTATTGACAATTAAATATTTGGTTCAATTTGTAAAGTAATAAAATATTATAGCATGATGTACTGTTAGTGATAATTAAATAAAGCATAATGTTTTCAGTAAGTCATGACAACATGTTTTTATGTTTATGTAACTTATTAAAATTATTAAAACTTTAAAAAAGATTTTTAAGTTATACAAGCTGGTTTAAGTCATATTAATGGAATTCAAGTTAAAATGACTTGATTCAGTTTAATTAAAAATGTTTTAAAGTTTTTTTTAATCCTAACTTTAAAACAATAATACAGTTGAAGTCAGAATAGTTTTTCCCCTGTTTATTTTTTCCCCCAATTTATGTTTAACGGTGAACAGATTTTTTTAAACACATTTCTGAACATAATAGTTTTAATAAATCATTTCTAATAACTGATTTATTTTATCTTTGCCATGATGACAGTAAATAATATTTGACTAGATATTTTTCAAGACACTTCTATACAGCTTAAAGTGACATTTAAAGGCTTAACTAGGTTAATTAGGTTAACTAGGCAGGTTAGGGTAATTAGGTAAGTTATTGTATAATAATGGTTTGTTCTGTAGACTTTCGGAAAAAAAATATAGCTTAAAGGGGCTAATAATATTGACCCTAAAATGTTATTTTTTTTAAATTAAAAACTGCTTTTATTCTAGCCGAAATAAAACAAATAAGACTTTCTCCAGAAGACAAAATATTATCAGACATACTGTGAACATTTCCTTGCTCTGTTAAGTATAATTTAGGAAATATTTAAAAAAGAAAAAAAATTCAAAGGGGGCTAATAAATCTGACTTCAGCTGTATATGAACCCAATCACTGGGTTAACATTTTTTAATTACATGTTTCCAAGTAATATTAAATGGACTTAACTACTGCATTAAACATAAATAATAAATAAGTGCAATGTACTTAGTGTGACCCTGGACCACAAAGGGGAAAAACACACCCAAAAATACACTGTAAGAGTCAAAATTATAACTTTTTCTTCAATGCTGAAAACAAAAATAGACTCTTAAGTATAGATAAAATTCCATGAATATATGTTGGTAAACTTCTTAACTATAAATATGAATTACCAAGCACTTCATTTGGACAAGTTTCATAAATTTTTTGAACCCTCAGATTGTAGATGTATTTAAATATTTGTCAGGGTGTCCAAGGGGTCTTAAAAAGTATTAGAAGTTGTTGGCGCCAGTGGTGTAGTGGTTAGTGCAGGGATGGGGAAACTTGATCCTCGAGGGCCGGTGTCCCTGCAGAGTTTTGTTCCAACACTAGTCAAACACCTGAACAAACTAATCATTGTCTTCAAGATCACTTGAGCTCTATAGGGAGGTCTGTTTGAATAAGGTTGGAGCTAAACTGTGCAGGACACCGGCCCTCCAGGACCGAGATTGCCCACCCCTGGGTTAGTGCATCGACACATGCTCACGGCGACCCGAGTTCGATTCCCGCCTCGCGGTCCTATGCCGATCCTTCCCCTCTCTCTGCTTTCCTGTCAATCCTCTACACTTTCCTATCCATTAATGGTGAAACCCCGAAAAAATAATAAAAAATATAATGTTTTAAAAATGTATAAATCAATTTAAAGAAATTGAAGGCACTTAAAAATTTTCGTATATCAATAAATGTTGTTTTTAGTGTGCTAAAGTTTGCCTGAATTAAATCTGCGAATATTGGGATGCTGTATAGTTTATAAAATTAATAAAATCCTGCTAGATTACTGCAGTAACCAGGAAAACACTGTTATTCCTGCTGTTATAGACGCCCTGCAGAATTAGCACTGTTAATTCAGCATATGAATAATGTTTTAGTTTATTATTTCTTACAATCAGTATTTAGTAAATATACTAAGTTGAAATGTTGCCAGTGTTACCGGGGAAACCTAAAGTGGCCACGAGGTCTTAAAATATATGAGGCTAATGGAGGAACGCCAGTTTATTTACCAAAACTAATTCACACTCAATGGTTCTCGACTGAGGTATGTGCAGCACTGACCTACATACAGTAACACAATTTGCACAGAGTAGTAATGACTTTATATTTACTGTAAAGGCATTGAGATTCAGCTTAACACTGTAAAATAACACTGCATTGGTAATATTATACACTCACCGGCCACATTATTAGGTACACCTTACTAGTACCTTACTTTTATTTGGTACACCTTACTAGTTGAACCCCCTTTGCCTTCAGAACTGCCTCAGTCATCCATGGCATAGATTCAGCAAGGTATTGGAAATATTCCTCAGCAATTTTGGTCTATATTGACATGATAGCATCATGCAGTATAGAAAGCGTCCTTTAAATAGTCTTTAAAAGTATTGAATTTTACTCTGATTCCTGATTCAGCAAAATATTGTCCTGTCCTAACAAACCATATATCAATGGAAAGCTTATTTTATTCCATGTCTTGCATAAATAATGTATAGACAATATATAAATCCTGATAATTTAGAAAAAAAGGATTTTTATGACTGGTTTTGATGTCCAAGGGCACAATTATGTTCATATTATATTGCAAAAAGACTTAAAGGTACTATTGAAGTGCTATAGGGGTAAGGTTAAGGAAAATTTTGGTGGTCCGAAATAAAATGTCCCCCCTTTTTTTAGTATAGCAAAGTGTATGTGACCATTACAAACAGCCATTTCTATTAACAACGCACTCTTCTTCTGACTCAATTGACATGAAGGAAAGAGACTCACCTGAGAGCAGGAATAGACTCCCACCAGAGATGGCGATCTTGCTCTTTGTGGATGGGTTGTTGTCACCCACCTTTGTGCACTTCATGCCGACCACACTTACAATGATACCCATGAAGCCCATGAGCACAGAGATCACCATCAGAGCTCGACACGTCTGAATGTTGACTGCAGAAAAAACAACAACCGGATATTAGAACTCTTCAGTGGAAACTCAAAGTCAGTTAGGCTAGTTCCTATGAAACAAAAGCCCCATACCTCAGATCGAATTCTTAAAGCGATAACTTATTCTGGAACACAAAAGAAGATATTATGACTGTTGGAAACCTGTAACCATTGACTTCAGTAGGCAAAATAATACTATAGAAGTCATTGGTTACAGGTTTCAACTTTCTTTAAAATATCTTCTTTTGTCTTTATCAGCAAAAAATGGCTTTTCATCTTTAGTTGAACTATCCCTTTAATTTTTCTAATTTTCATTTTCCAATGCAAGATAAATTTAATTGATTCATAAATGTTATGAATTAAATACAGTGTTTTAAGGTATTTATTCATTCATTCATTTTCTTGTCGCCTTAGTCCCTTTATTAATCCGGGGTCACCACAGTGGAATGAACCGCCAACTTATCCAGCAAGTTTTTTTTTATGCAGCGGATGCCCTTCCAGCCGCAACCCATCTCTGGAAAACATCCACACACACACACACATTCAAACACACACACTCATACACTACGGACAATTTAGCCTACCCAATTCACCTGTACTGCATGTCTTTGGACTGTGGGGGAAACCGGAGCACCCGGAGGAAACCCACGCGAAGGCAGGGAGAACATGCAAACTCCACACAGAAACGGCAACTGAGCCGAGGTTCGAACCACAACCCAGCGAAGTTCTTGCTGTGAGGCGACAGCACTATCTACTGCGCCACTGCCTCGCCTACTAAAGTATTTATAGCACACGATAACAATTTATTTTAAGGTGTCCTTGATAGACATGTTCCATGTACTTGCTATTCATTCATTCATTCATTTTCCTTCGGCTTAGGCCGAAACCAAGTGGTAAGAAAAATTCCCAGAATACACCAGCCACAATGGCAGGATAGTAACACCCGGAAGAAAGGAAATCAACAAATTACTATTTTTTGCCATTATTACGAATTTTTTACAACAAGCAAACACGTTTTAATATATTCATAACCGCATTTGTGTTTGACCGTCATGCTTTAAAAAAAAAAATCTAAAATAAAAACCGCTAAATTTTGCGATCCCTAATCATAACTCCTGTACAGCAGTCCCACAACATTCTGACACTCGGTGACACTCGAATACCCTGTCAGAAAAGTCTAGTGGGGTCCCCACAGCGAATGAACCGCCAACTAACTCAGCATATGCTTTACACAGCGTATGTCCTTCCAGCTGCAACCCAGTACTAGGAAACAACCATACACACTCAATATTTAGTTTAGTATTTACCCAATTCACCTATAGCACATGTCTTTGGACTTGTGGGGGAAACTTGAGCACCTGGAGGAAACCCACTTGAACACAGGGAAAACATGCAAACTCCACACAGAAATGTCAACTGACCCAGCCAGGGCCTGAACCAGCGACCTTCTTGCTGTGAGGTGAAAGTTCTAACAACTGAGCCACCGTGTCGCCCTGTACTTACTATAATAAAAACAAATTATGTTATTTACATGCAATTAACCCTAATCATAACCTGCATTCTAACCCTAACCCCATAGTAAGTATATGTACTATATAAAAATGACCCAGTGCTTAACGGAATTGTTACACTGTATCACGGACACCTTATAATAAAGTGTGACCAAACAGATTTTTTTATTTCTCATTTTATTTATTCTTTATTTAATGCCATTTTATTGTGCATTTCGTCCACATTTAACACACATTTATTATTTATTATACATAACCTGAAGCCTAAACCTGCAATTCAGTTTCTTTATCAGAGTGTTTCCCCTTGCCTTCCAGTAAAAATATATTTAACATATATATTTAAATTTAAATAGACACATAACTGCTGTCAACAGTATTCTGCCTACCAAAGTTTTAGGAGCAACAAATAATAACTTGACTTCTAGTTGATCATTTGGTATCAGAAGTGGCTTATATGAAAGGCAAAGGCCTCTAGATTACGCTTATTTTGCCTAAATAAAATATGATCATGCCTTGATTTTTGATTATTTAATTAGGACAGTAAGGTCTCACTTTGCTTTAGACAAAAGTCTTGTCACTTAACAGAAATAATGGTTTGTAATTTCATGGGCAGCACAGATGTCTTGATACCTCAGGCTGTTGATGTTGCCACCCACTCTGCACCCATACTAAATTTAACCCCAAACCATGATTTTTCCTTGTGAGAATCTTGGGTCCATGCAAGTTCCAGGTCTTCTGCAGTATTTGTGATTATTGGGATGCAGCTCAACAGATTCATCAGAAAACCTTCTGCCAATTTTCCAAATGAACTAGAAATCAAGCTATTATTTGTTGCTCTTACAACTGGGATCGACGACAAGACTTTTGTCAGGTAATGTATGTCTTAGTCATATTTTACCCTTGAAGTGCAAAGAAATAAATAATTAATTTTTATTTTAAGGTGAATTAATCTCCAAAAAATGGTATATAAAACGTCAACATTATACATTTTCTGAATGCAATATTTAATTGAATGCATAATTTGGTACTTTACAATACGGTTGTATTAGTTAATGTATTGACTAATGAACAAACAATCAATAATGCATATATTAGTGTTAGTGAACGTTAGTTAAAGGGATAGTTCACCCAACTGACTATTTACTCACCCTCTAGTGATTCCAAACCTTTCTGACTTTCTTTCTTCTGTCAAACATTAAATAATATATTTTTAAAAATAGATGCGCAGCGTAAAACATGTGCTGGATAAGTTGGCGGTTCATTCCACTGTGGCAAGCCCAGATTAATAAAGGGACTAAGCCAAAAAGAAAATCAATGAATGAATTTTGAAAAAAAAAAAAAAAAAAGCTGAAAATGCTGAAAACCTGGAATAATTGACTTCCATAGTTGAAAAAACAAATACTATGGAAGTCAATGGTGACAGGTTTGTGACATTTATCAAATTGTCTTCTTTCAGGTTTAACAGAAAAAAAAAACTCCTAAAGGTTTGAAACAAGTAAATGATGTCAGAATTAATTTGTGGGTGAATTACCCCTTTAACAGAGTTCATTTTAGTTTAATACATTAAATAATGACACCTTATAAAGCCTCTATTTTATATATACCCCCTATTTTTTATCTTCTGATTTTCTGAGGAAAATAATGACTTAAAAATGTATTCACAGTATTCCGAATAAAGATTTTAGCACAATTTTGAGCTTTTTCTAGCCGTTCTTCTACATTAAAATTCCACAGATAACCCACACAGAGCTGAGTTCATACATAATGCTGTAGGAGTGACATTTGAACATGTCTGGCACAGAGGAGATTACTGTGGCTTTTCCACAAAGAAGGATTGTCCCTGCTTTTTTGTGTGACAGCTACATGCTAACATGCCAAGTTCAGCTCAGATAATGACTTCAACTTCAACTCCCGATCACACAATGGAATTCAGACCACCAACCCCATGCTCTGAACTATTCCTGTATTGTTGGGCTCTTCTCAAAAGGAGAGTTCAGAGGGCCATGTTTTAATGGATATCTTTGAAATTGTAGCATCAAAAAGAAACTGAAACCATAAAATAAGTATAACGGCATCTCAAAGAAAAGGAGAATTAATAATGTGACGTTTGATGCGTGATTTATGTGTGAGGAGGACGCCTTTGAAGCAGGATTTTAGTGCTTTATTCACTTCTGTTCTGACTGCGCTTTAGATTATGGGTTGCCCTTTCTGTTTGGGGATTCTCCATTCATTCATTTTCTTGTCGGCTTAGTCCCTTTATTAATTCGGGGACGCCACAGCGGAATGAACCGCCAACTTATCCAGCAGGTTTTTACACAGCGAATGCCCTTCCAGCCAAAACCCATCTCTGGGAAACTTCCACACACACACACACACTATGGACAATTTAGCCTACCCAATTCACCTGTACCGCATGTCTTTGGACTGTGGGGGAAACCGGAGCACCCTGAGGAAACCCACATGAACGCAGGGAGCACATGCAAACTCCTCAAAGAAACGCCATTTGAGCAGAGGTTCGAACCAGCGTCCCAGCGACCTTCTTGCTGTGAGGCGACAGAGCTACCTACTGCATCGCTACATCGCCATCCTCCATTCAATAGAACTGAAATTTATCATTATGAATAAGTGAGAAGAGTTTGCCATGGTACTTTAATTTTATATCTAGACAAAACTTTTTAATCAATGAAAAATTTTAATCAGGACATACAATTTTTTTTCATCTTATTCAGATTTATTAATTTGCTTATTGTCTTTTATTTCAGCTGCATTAAGGGTTAGGTTTAGATTTTTGGGTATTTAATTTCATATTTTTTGCTGTTGATTTGAAGAAGGTTGCTGATTCAAGCCTCGGCTGCATCAGTTGGCGTTTCTGTGTGGAGTTTGCATGTTTTGGTTTCCTCCAGGTTTCCTTTGGTTACCCCCACAAGTCCAAACACATGCAGCACAGGTGAATTGGGTAAGCTAAAATTGTCCGTAGTGTATGTGTGTGAATGAGTGTGTATGGATGTTACCCAGTAATGGATTGCAGCTGGAAGGGCAACCGCTGCGTAAAACATATGCTGGATAAGTTGGCCGTTTTTTCCGTTGTGGCAACCCCAGATTAACCCTCCTGTTACCCTAAAATCTGCTAACACCTTTTTATCTACTGGGGTCAATTTGACCCCAGCAATTTAAAACCTTCAGAATATTTTTGCCAAAAGTTTAGTGTCAGGTAATTGATGTCTTTGTTGACTTCTTAAACACACTCTAAAATACAAAACCCCAACCCTATAGTAGACTAAAGTACAAAACTCCAACCCTACTATAGACAAGTTTACAAATCAGCATGAAAACTCTGTTTATATATATATTTTGTTGTTTTATTAGTTTTATACTTGCTATTGGTATATATTTTTGTTACTTATATGAAAAGAATAACAATTTTTGTAAAAGGACTGGAACACAATTATGTATGGGGTCAATTTGACACCAAGAAAAACATGGTTTGCTAGG